ATAGCAATTTGATATAATTAATACTCCTTTTTGATCACAGAAAAATTACTCAAATTATGTCATTAAGAAAGATTTAAGAATTACTGTAAAAGCAGATTAAATATTTTAATGTTCATTCATCAACCACAATCACCCCTTTCGCGTAATATTACAAAATCAAGTTAATTCCACTTTTACCGACAAGGTGTATTTCAAGTGGTACTTCGTAACAGATGTCGCCCGCGTACAATGAGGCGAGTAAACACACGTCGGTAAGATAGAGAAGCATAAGCGTCGCTCACAAATTAAAGAGCAAGTATCATTTCCCGATAGTCAATTACCGACGCGATCAACTCAACGAAAAGACATTTCGCGTCACACAGGATTCTCCAACTGCTTTAATCGCAAAACACCATTCTAATAACGGAACGAAAACCCGCATACACTCGCGAAATCATTCATCGAAGTTCCACCAGTGTCTACGGTCAACGCCAATCGTCGGTCAAGGAAGCAATCAATATAGATACCGTGTAAATCACTGGCAATTAGCGACTAATAAATATAAACACACGCCGATCGGCCTGATTCGTCTTCTAACGGCAGCTTATCTATGAAAAATCACGTGAAAACTTATCTAAGCGGTTCAACATAAATAGAGCGTACTTGAAAACGCCGAAAGGCCGTACGCAAATCACATGGCACGGTGAACCGAGGAGCCGTGTGTGCACGGTACTTAACTAGATGCGCACGATTTAATCGTTCGCCGAGAAACGATAAACGAGGTTGATACAAAGGGAACTTCGCCGGCCAATCGACACGGTTCGAAAACGGGAAGCGAGGAAAAACAAAGCACCGTGGCCGGGACCGATAACGATCGTTTTGCGCAGATTATACTGCACCAGGAAAATCAGGGATCAATGACGGGTAAATGGAAATACGCTCGGAATTATCGAAAAGAACCCGTTGCACGGTTGAACGGTAGCCAGAGAGCGTAGCATCGTGAGCGAACGATCGAACGACAGGCGGCGAACAGGTCCGGTGTTGAACGACGACAACGAAACGGTTCACCGTGTGAAACGTCCCGATGTATCCCGACGACATAACCTCAAAAACGGGGGGATTCGGTGGCCCCCCACGGCGGCCACGAAAATAAAAGTCCCGTTGTCTGTTGGCGAGAAGACACGGGCCGGGTCGAGAAGGTTCTCGCCGCAGACGACGCAATGCCACGAAAAAAGTCAACGAAACTTGCGCAGGAGCTGGCAGGAAAGTCAAGAGCCCTCGCAGTTGACACATGTCAAGCGTGCAGTGCAACTCGAAAAAACGTCAGGGTGGCCGACAACACACGATTACGGGTACGGATGTAAAAATCGACACTCACCGCTGTGCCCGGTGTTGCTCGACGACTGGCCCATTATTCTCACGCCGACGGTGATGGCAGGCACGAGATAAAGCGCTCGGTGATCGCGGCGTGCTCACGTGAAAAACCGGACGCATGAGTGCGCGAAAGACCGACACATTTTTCGAAAAAATACTATCACATCGTGTACCCGCAGTGTCGCTACGACAGAGACGGACGGCCGCTACGAAGCAACGAGGTGATTGGCCCGCGTGACCGTGCGCATGCGCGACCCGCGGGATTTTGAATCGGCTCGCGTTATCTACTCGCCGTAGAGAGACGTGAACGCGATTTACTCGATGCCGGTCCTGTCCGCGGGGTTCTGTCGTTCGCTAGCCGACCGTTCCTAAGAAAAGGTAAACCTTGACGAGTTGCTCTCTATCACGTGCACACCAGCCACCACGTAGTTTGCACGAGTCTTTCATTAGCATGGCCATTTCAAGAATGCTCACTTCACACATTTCGCAGCCGTTCACTTGCGTTGCACTTTTAGAATTTGTAGATGGTTGTCAATCACGTGGCGTTACGTATTATACTTGCACTTTGAATTGGTTTCGTTTGTTCGACTTGCAATTTCTGGTAAGATTTATGAAATCAAAGTTTCATTCGGGTATAGGTATATTGTGCTTCCATTGTGTCTTGTTTTACTTGGACTTTGGACAGACGTTGTACAACTAGATGACTTTATGGCATTTCTATTTGAATTTGGAAGATGGGAGTTTCTTTCAAAGATAAACATATAATATATTGAATGTGGTAATTCTTGGAATAGGAGTAATCAAAATGGATTGAACAACTTCAGACACGATTGACTGTAATGTCCTCGTTGATTCAGGTTTTCTTGATAGGATAATCTTTATAAGGAGCATTGTAATGTTTAATCGCGAGAATAATATTTGAAAGCAATTTTTGTAGTTTTGGTACTTACTTTGGTACGGTTATTAGTAATTATAGTTATATAATTTAACTAAATTTATGGAAGAGAATAACCGGAGAAACTCTCGCACTTGTATAGAGGATTTTTAGTTAGTACAATCTGTTGGAAAATTATGAAAATACAGAATATTCCTGTGATCCTAACGCCCTCTACTTGTGTTAGTATATAATGAATATCGTGAAATGTAACCAATAAGCATTTTTATTGTAAAGTAATTCTTGCCGATTACTTTGTATAAACTTTGAAAAATGTTACACTACCCAATTTATACCGCACAATAAAAGAATATTCTAAATTAGAAAAAAACAGCGAAATATATGATGCCGTTTATGTATTATTATTGCCATTATTATATTATGTTCGATTATCACTACGTTTACATCATTATTGCTTCACACTATTACTAATTTTGTACAACGATCATTGTATAATTTATTATTGTTATTCGTCATTGTTTATTAAAAAAGAAATATAAAATAATAAAGAGCATCAATAAAGAGCACACGTATGTTAATATTTTATTCTTTCTGTCTTGTGCATCCTTTTGCATGTGCACACAATATCACTGTCCCAACGTTATACATAATTAGCCTGCGGAAGCGTATGCTTTTACAACACCTAATTACCTCGCAAAACTGAGAAAAATAAGGAGTTCAACATAAACTTTAATGCCATACATGTATTACAACGTACATGATAAAATGAATTATTTTTAATTCTATAATTCAACGTCCGAAGTTATGAATTCGCTTAAAAATCCGCAGCCTACTTGTAACAGTGGACCAATATCATTAAGAAATGTAAATAACACAGTAAGTTACGGCACAGTGCTTCGCCGCGTGGCGACAAAGACGGTGCGCAGGTCAAAGTGGCTGAACCAGCACTCGAGCGATCAGGGCTTACAGGGCTTTCAGGGCGGATGTCTTGAAGAGCCTGTCTTACAATTATCTCAGCCCAGTTGGCCCTGATATGGACGAGAACAGTTCGTGAACCTCTGCACAGAAGTCTAGTTCGAAAAGAGATATTTTATGGTGGGCAAGATTTACCCTTAGTTAAGGACATCAAAGACATTTAATTGTCTTTCTCAACAAAGATCGTTAATTGTCTTTCTTTAAGTAAAATATCCGTTTTTCATCAAAGTAAGAGATTATGATTCGTGACAATAAGTTGAAATATAATTAAAATTCAAATGAAAATACTTTTCGTTAAAGGAACCGATTTTTGAATGTTATCAAATTCAAGGACCTTTCGAAAACAGTTTGCCTATAAGATTAACTTCGGTCGTTGACTTAGGCCAATGAACTGAGAATGAAAACACAAAATATTTGAATAACCTTAAACTAGAAGTCATTAACTAGAAGTCATTGACGTTTTAAAGCGATTTGACTGTGTAACTGAAACATAAGTTACGCGTACAGAAAGATAATATTAACCTTCTCAGATGTACACAAACTTGGCACACTTGTCTGTAATCCAACTGTCTGCCATAAGAGATCTGAGAAAATACATTCTATTCGAACACTTTCTTGAAATTTAAGTATAAGAAATAATTTAAACTGTTCTTTTATACGAATTGCTTTAAATACCTTTATTTTCAAAGATCTTTTAACCCCTTATGTCCTGAAGGTACTTCGAAATACCATTTTCATTAAAATAATTCTCTAAACCAAAAATGCTCAAATTTCTTAAAATTTAATTTAGTTTAGAATTAAAATATTGTTTATGTTAATATATGTATCGTTCAAACAGATCAAAGAATCTAGAATAAAAACAGTAAAGATAGTAATCATGAAAAATAATTCAAAACACAAAGGGTTAAATCTGATACTTAAAATCTTTTGCAAATCAACACCTTTATTAATTTAAAGCATTGCTATTATTCATCCGCTATCTCTGTATAATTTAACTGAGTTCAGATGACAGCTAAAAGAGAAATTAATTAGACAGGGCCGAGAAATGAAGATACCCGTACAAAAACATCTAGAAAAATTTTGTTATTTACATAATCTTTTACTTTATTACGATCAATATTTACGTTATCTGAACGTTAGTTGATCGTTATCTAAACTTAGTTAATCTCATTCTATATATTCTATTTTCGTGGATTAAATATGGTGACTTCTTTTAAGACAGAATAAATTGGAAAACAAGAAAACTCTATGATCAGAACGAATTCCTTTTAACACAACCCATTGCAAAATGTGAAACACGATTCATATAAATGAAATTCCGAAAATTAATTTTTAAGGCTTTTACCATTCTTGTAAGAAGTGTCTTCAGAGATTAAACATTTCAAGGTATTCGCATACCACAGCCAGAAGGGGGCTCTGTTCTCAACTTTGTTAATAATCGAGACGGTTGGGTACTGGAGTATCACCAGGGAAACTGTGGTGCTAAATGTTTGATGTCGATAGCTGACGAACAGGCCTAGATTGATCTTTTTTAAAGGCAAACTCTTTGATGTCAGCAAATTAGTACATTTGCAGAAAACAGAATAATGTACACTTAAAGCTAGTTTGTTTCATTTTCAATGTCCAAAAAACCATATTTTGTATCTATATATCAAAAACATTAGTCAATACGTTGATTAACATAAAAATCACTGAAGATTTGATATTACGATGGTTATTAGTGACTAGTATCGATTTAACTGAAGTTGATAAAAATAAATGATAGAAATTGAAAATTAAATATTTATTGTCTCATAGAGCATAATGAAATTCCTTTCAATCAATATAACACCATCAAAATGAATATTTAACAATAGAACTACCGAGTAGTCGAATTGAATTTCTTCTTGAATTGAAAAAGAAACTGTAAAAGTACCTACCGTGATATCAACTAATTTATAATTCAGAGTCTTACGAAAACAATTTCTCTAATAATTTCCCAGAAAACCATTTGTCATCTTTTCAATAATTTGAAAATAAGAAATCAGGAATGGTAGTAATCTGGTAGTTCTAGCGTCAAATCTGACCAAAGAATTGCCACACACAAGTAACTCCACAATAAATATATCAAACAAATTTTTATAAGTCCATTGCTCATTTTCTACATCAAAATGAAAGATCAGAAACATTTAGGCCACAACATCGCACAGTCACTATTAAGGTTTTCGAATACAAAACAATCCTTTCATAAAAACTAATTCCTAGCTCCGCAAAGCTATCCGCAACGTCACCGAAACATTCGGGATAATTTTTTCAAAAGGCCACGGCGCATAGCAGCAAGCCTTAACCACCGAGAATAGCTTGCTGAAGGTATCACTCCACCGAAACACAGGAGTATTATCCGGCACTCAGGTTGTTAACTCTAGTGACCCAGAAGAAAGTCACCATATTCCTTCCAACGCCAATAAAAGTACATACCGAAACGATCTCCGAACCGCCTCCTACAACGCTCGATCAACGACAACACGCAACAGCACCATACCTCCGGCGATAGCTCCATTTCCCGAGCAAGGCACTGTAGCCCTAGCCACGAGCTACACCCACTCACGTGTTCTCACCCGAGCAAAGTGTCCACGCGGCTACACGCACCCCGGAGTCGCAACTGCGCCCACAATTCGCGTGTGCCAGGCACCCATTTTATCGTTCCATTCCGCGGAATGGTATCACGCAATTGCGGACTGTTCCAGTCCACGGTGTTCCTGCGTAGATCCCGGGTCAGACCCGAAGGAGACCCTGCGGAGGAGTACCCTAGGCCGCACGTCCTCACGGTTTCCTTCGTCCCAGCCCCGAGAGGATCATCGATCAGCCCCAGGTATATTCCCGAGAAAGAATCAACGACGACGAATCATCGCCTTGGTAACCGTCCGGCAAAACACTGCGTCGTGGATGTGATACTTCGCTCAGCAGCGTCGCCGAGGTACGCTAACCCGGCTACACCTGCGGACTCGTCCGTGATCACCGAGACATGCTAATCGTCTTGTCTGGCACCGTTTCGTCCCGACTGACATGAACCCGCTGGAGGAACGCGACTCGGAGGACTTTGGGCTCAACAGCTGACGGCAATCAGGGGATCGCTCGCTTCCTGGGTAGACCGCTCGCGGATTCGGGGAAAGATGGATGTCGGTTTCTCTTGGATGGTTTGCTTCGGACTGATCGCGCTGCTCGTCGTGTCGCAAGGTCAGTTTCCATGGATGATAGAGTATTTTAGTTTGAGCGCCGTGTATGGGTAATGTAGATGTCGGTCTTAGGCGATTGGAGTTCGTGTTGAGATCACCATCTTTTTTGTAATGATCTTTTTTGGTATTGTTAGTTCGGTGATATCTTTTGGAGATAGATGTTTGAGAAGCGTAACGTGGAGGCGTTATTAGCTTTCTAAATAGCACTTTACGTGTTGTAACGTCTAATGAGAATATATGCGAAATTGATTTAACGTTTTATGCGCGAAGTGGGAATTAAAATTGTAAATGGCACGCTTTTTATAGTATTTTCAGTCCATTGAAATTCTTTATGAAAGAAATCATTTTCTATTTGACTTGAAATTCTATAGCTTCGGTATTTTATAGGGAACCACAGTTTAACTATGATAGACAATTAAATCAACCGTACTCAAAGTGTTAAAGGAAGACGCGTAATTGATAAACCAGCTTTGTGAATAAATAATTTCATAAGTATATATTTCACAATGAAAAATAATCCTTCGTTTTATGTAAAGACAAAAGAAATGATTTGGAAGAATAATTTCTTAGGTAAAGAGTAATAGAAGATAATGACAGAAAATTATTATCTAACTAAGCTAATGTACAATTGAAAATAACTTGTAGTCAAATGAATTTATTTATAGTATAATTAATCAAATTGTTACCTAACATCTCATTCTCAAACATTTCATTAGTAGTCCACAATTTCTTAGACGTTTCAAATAAGAAATGCCTGACTTCGATCGAAACGTCTGCGTTAATTGTACTTGAATGATCTCTGATTCTGTCGCGCCAGGCTGGGCTATTGACTGTTTCAAGTGCGTGTCGATCGACGGCGACAATAAGCCCTGCGACGATCCGTTCCACAATAACGGGAGTCTCGCTTTCTTGGAGTCGCCATGCCTGGGAGGTCGCAAGGGCCGCGATGGTCTCTTCCCTGCGACCGCGTGCATCAAAATAGCAGGCATATACGGTAAAACTTCCTCCTTTTGTGATTGCGAGTGGTCCTTAACCCCCTTTTCGCGCTACGTGTTCACTGAATACACTATGGTTCACGGCACAATACGGTCCGTGTCGAAGACCTTAGGCGCCAAGAGGGTGGCTAAATTACTCAAAATAATGAGGTGGCTACTTTCTCAATAACTGTGAATGTATTATGGTCCAAATACTAGTAACAAATAAAAATAACAATTCCAAATGTTTTTAACCGCAAGTTTCATGAAATTTAGTTGTCTTTTGATAAACAACAATACTTATTCATTGTGTACATTAGAAGTATATTATTGTGTCCCTATTAATTCCTGGTAATTATTATAGTGTACAATTTAGAAGTACTAATTAGAAGCGTTAAAAAATAGAAAAATGTAAGTGTTTCATGTTTTCTTTGATCGTGTGATTTCAAATCACTGATTTGAGTCTATATTAGCGATTTCGAATTGTTCATATCTGTTCGAGACATGCAGCACAGGAGACGGGGGAAATTAGCACTCTAGAAATTCGATAATCTTCTTTTTCATTCGAGTATGAGGATAAAAAAAAATTATTTGTGACTGATTAGACGAGTCTGGAGTCTCTTTAACGGTGAGAAGCTGCGCGTTGGACAGTGGAACTTTGACGACCGACTCGGAAATTATAAGAATGTCGCATTGCGGAGGGTTCTACTTCGACGACAAGTGAGTTTAAGCGCGAAACAAGTTTTGCTTACTTTCTTATAAATGATAACAGAAGGCGACGGTAGTTGGACAATCTGAAATTGAATGGCCGTGACACGCGACCAGACAGAAAAAGAAACTGGAAAATCGAAAGTACAGAAACTGTGAAACATAGTCAAACACTATTTATATTTTTTTTCTTAAGAAAGAAAGAAAGGAAATTAATACCGTAAGATATCAGTTTCACAAATAAAATTATATCACCAATAAAAACATATTTACAAAATTAACTCCTCCTTCTATAATATCGAGTTAGAATCGTAATGAAATGTTCAATCAAATTCATCAAATCTAAATGTTATTTATTTAGTTCCCATATAAATAACATATTACGTGTCTATTATAAATCTTTAATCTTTAGAGCAAATGCAGACACAGAAGAAGCATAAATTCTTTCCTTCTTCTACTAAATTATTAACGATAAAGTTATTTTATCAAACACAGTTGTGAAATAAATCTAGGACAAGGGGTTAAACTGAATTAAACATTTAAGTTTGTCAGAATTCGATAATAATTTTGAAATAGAATCGAGAAATAAAAGGATGAAAATTCAGTATCGAAAAAATTTGAAAAAATTCAATTTCAGATTGCACAAGTTATTATAGAATTTATGGTACGATTATACGCGTGTTTTTAATGTTTTGAGCTTAAACTGTAATTTCCAGATACGTCCGCGGTTGCGTTCAATCCTGCAACGACGCAGATGCTTGCAATGGATCCATACGACAGACAGCTTCATTTACACTTCTGATTTTGTCGCTTTTCGCCGAGTTCGTCTGACGAAGATATTCTACATATCACATATCGATTACAATCATAGGCAATTATTGTATATAAGAAAAAGGAAGCCTTTATTGGGATGCGCGTAATGGACCACTACGAACTTAAAACTATAATGTAATACGACCAATTAGCTGTGGACCAACGATGAAAAAGAAGTAATATCTTCGATTAATAATAATATTAATACTTATTAATAATAATAATAATTACACATCGATATAGAGAATTATATCGATTTATAGATAGACTAGTTAGTACAATATGAAATCCAGATACAGAGTATGTTTGATTTCAAAGTATAAAAATGATTTCTTATATTATTAATGTAAAAGATAGTTGTGTTGCAATTACACAGAATTTTAAATTTTTGGGATATATATATATAGATCAGATTATTTAAAAATATTTATTTCCCTCAAAAAAGAGTTTGGAATCGTTTACAAGTATTTATCAATATCATTTATCATCTGAGAACAGGTGTGATCAAAATTGTATTTTCAGCAATTTGAAAAAATATGAAATGATTTCATATGCATACTCATATCGGACACATTGCATAGTCAACAAATATTCAAAACAGACTCTCTATTTGATACTGCTAGATAGTTTGCAAATAGGAACGACGAAAGGACTGCCATGTTAATAACGAGTACTTATATAATATGAACATAATCATTAACTTAAATCGAACAAATATCGTAAAGAGTATGAAAAATAGAGTATAATATATAATAGTCATCGCTTGACAACAGTGAGATATACATTAATGAAACAACAGCAGACTGTATAACATATTAAATAAATCAAATTTTAATTTAAAATTACCTGTAACTCTTAATGCGGTACCCTGCATATTTGCGAGCTTGAATTAGAGAAACAACAAATTTTATAGAAAAACCAGGATCGTAATTTTAATAAAAAAACAATTGCTCTTATAGTAGATAATAAACGTGTAACAAACTTGCGAAAGATTTCTATTCGAAATAAAGACTTCGAATTTTGTGTAACAATAGCATTTGTGCATAAAATTGAATTTCTAACATTAACGAAATTAAATGCCATCAATTAGCAGAATGGCGAATGAATTAATGCGAAAAAAGGTGATTAAAAACTCATTTTGCATTCCAAGAAAAGAATGTAACACGCATTGCACCTGCATCGTTGCACTTGAAGAAATAATTATATTAAAGGAAAGCAGTCCTCATTAAACCACTCGACCGTTCCCTCTACCTCTGCATAGAAAGAAGCTACAGCTCGACCCAGTTTCAGGAATCGCCCTGTACAGGGCTTAAAACAAAAAAAGGAAAAAGAAAAGTAACGAAGATAAGATCGCAATCCAGAGATCACTTTGCTGCATAGTGATGAGACAAAGTGCATTGACTACGATTATAAAATATCCTGAATATTTCATAAGTATTTCGATTGTTTTATGTTTCTCGAATAAAACTGATGAAAAATTGATTCTCATAAGACTCGTGTTTTTATGGAAAATATTTACGTACTCGTGTAGTTTGAAAAATCAATTTTTGCAACTCGTTTTGAAATAACATGCTGAATTCGCAAAGAAGTGTTGCGAAACCTGACTGTATTTATTTTGAGATACAATCCGGGACTTCAAATAATCGAAATCCTGGTTAACTATCTGGATGCTCGAGACCAGATTAATCAAGGTCCTACTAACACTAATTAAGTATTAATCCGTTTAAACCTGACGCACATTATAATGTACATTGTTTTACTACTTTCAATATCTAATAAAATAAAAATAAACTAAAATAAAAGCTATGACAAATAACCGTATGCGCATCCTGTATTTGAACCTATTTCTATCAGAAAAGTAGTACAATACCATTTTTTATTCACGATATATGTCATTACCGATGGTGCATTGAATAACAGTCTTTTGGTGATAGGTAATTGCGCATAATTTTGTATGAAAAAGGGGTTAAAGTGATTGATGGTTATAAGTAAATACATGCACACCAAACTTCCTCCCGAAATGAAGTATAACAGCATAATGTGATGGCTTGAGTACGCAAGAATTATCCAAGTCTGTTTCGGCGTGTTGCTATATATATTGATATTCTTAAAAGGAAAATGTGGAAGAGAGTGGAGAAGTAATGACTTATAAAGAAAAGAAATCCAAGAATTGGTTTGTCCCGGTAATTCATATATTTTGCGCTAAGTTATCTGGTAGTATTGTAAAAATGAGCTCCGAACTTCAAGCCTTGAAAGCTGCAGTCGCAACTTGAGCTTCAGCTCTAAAAACTGTCGGTCTAAGATCTTTAAGCTTCAAGACTCAAAAAGTTACTATATTAACACCGCAAAACTGCAGCCTAGGAAATTGAGAATACTTCGAAGACTGAAGTTTTCAAATATACACGCTCGAGTGTTTAGGGGTCTCAGAGTCAGTTTTATTTTTCGAAGCTTCAAGGCTGAGTCTTCGAAGACTCAAGATTTATTATACTCCAAGTTTTCAAGACTCAGCCTTTAAAGTTAAGCCTTGAAGATTCGAAGACTCGAGCGTTATACGACATTAATCTAAAGCCTTAGTAATCGTGACGTGCTAGCGTTTGCTTGGGCTATTGGGTATACAACAGTGTGAATCGAGTTTTATTGTAATCAGTGTCGATTCAAAAAAAAGGGAAACATAAGAGCACAGGCTCGTGAACTTATTCAAATTTGTAGCTTCACTGGAATATAATGTAACGTCATTCAAGCTTGTCAACCGCGCGATTTCCTCGCGATTTTGATGTAAACTGTGCACGTGGGAACAGAGTCGAAAGAGTATGCGAAGAACACAGGGGTTACCGGAAAATCGTCGATCATGAACAAACGCGTGACGGTCGTCAGGCAGCAGTATGTCGAATTCTTGTCACGGGTGGTCTGTTGGCTTTGGGATAGCCTGGGCCAGTTAATGGACATCTTGTTCGATTTCCTGGCGAGGCTAATCGAGCTGATACTAGCGGTGGTGAACCTGATGTTCCAGGCGATCTGTTTCCTAATGGATCTTTGGATCGACACTGTACAAACGTTCGCGAACATTTTCCGGGGAATCGTTAATGTCGTCAGGAACATCACTGGCGAGGAAGTTGAAGAGTTCGCCTCCGCCTGCATCGTCGTTTTTCTTTGGATCTGTTTCTTCAGAGTCATCAAGAATTTGTTCGCTCGAGTAGGACTTTTATGTACATCTTACTGACAATATCATAGAGCTAACCGTCGTTTGCACTCGAAAATTTGTCACCAAAAATATTCAACGTTTTCTAATGAAATATAGACGACATTTTTTTAAACTAAGTAAATAAGAAGTTATATGTAAATTAAGGAATCAAGATACTAATCATATTTTATAGTGTGTATCAAAATATGTACACATATTTAGTTAAAGAACAAATGATTCAATTGGTGCACAATCCAAGAAAAACACTAAAGAATATTTCATTTCGTAATTAACTGTTGATTAATCTCAGTGGTTATTGATAACTATTTTTAGGGCAATAGTTGTAGTTATAATTAATTTGTTATGCTTATTCGTGCAATCTTTGAAAAAATATCTTGTGCTGTTAATACCTCAGTACTTTCATGTATTACTCAGATTTGTTTAATAGAAGAACCCGTTATTCCGTGATACAATGAATTATATAATATTTTATACAATATTATTATGTACTTACTTAATAACGAAGACGTGCGTCTTTCGAAATCAGCCACCATCATTTCTTTCTTCTACTCTCCCTATTACTACACTTTTAAAAACGGAAGATTGACACATAGAATTTAAATATGTTTGATGACGAACGTGACACTGATGTCAGGTGGTGACAGAGTAACCGTCCGTTCACCGCGGCAACGATTTTAATACTAACAGGCGTATTGTTTATTCGTACGATAGTCCCAATGTCATACCTATCTCTCAGAACGCTCGGGCCAACCTTTACCGTTTCTTTTGTCAACCCCACTTGGCGAAAACAAACAACAAGTTGGAGGTTGAAAAAGTGGGGGAGTACAGAGATATTACAAGAAGAAGGGCGAGGAGGAAGATTACTCGGCGAAATGAGAAATGATCCCAAACAGATCCCATGAAAGACAAACTGAATGATTAAAATGCAATATTAGGTAAAAATGAAAAACAAGTGTCCGAATTATTTGGGTAACGTCAGAAACTAAATGTTTTCAAAACCTTTTACTTCATAGATGAAAAGTGAACATTATTAGAACATCAAGGATGATCGCGCGTATGATTTATAATAAATATTTGAAAAATAAACTATGCAATTTGCTTATAAATATTACACTTCATACTTTATTCCATTACACGTTTCTTTTATAAAAATTGGTACAAGGTACCGTCACGAGTAATGACAGAATTTTAGTCTCCTCTATTTACAAAAAAATGTTCATTAGCTGTAACAATGTGTAAACTCGTATATCAAATACAATTACACTTAACTTCTCTTCTATTATGTACACAATTAAATATAGATCATTTAACAGGTATCAACCTGCAAATGAGAGGCGCAGAAAACTTTCCCTCGGCAAAACGTAGAATAAATTTTCTGGGTAAATATATAAATATAATATAGCACCTCTTTTACATATTGATATATGTAGTCTCAGAGTTCGATCCATTGCTCGAATTATATACAGTTATAAATAAATTGTTTCAAATCCATTTTCACAATTGAAATAGATAATACTTCGCTTATGTTAACTGATTATGCTAACTTAGTCAAACGCAATAAAACGTGGATCGCTTTTGATTCGGTCTCAATCATTAACAACAGTAATAACTAATTTATGTTCAGGCCATGAAAACGTCTTTGGCAATTGTACCTGTAAAATATGTCAATATTAAATTTGTAATTACAAAAGTAATAATACATCCTAAAAAATAAGTTCCAATATTATTTACCTCATTTGGTGAATTTAAAATTTGAAATTCTTGGGCCATTTTTTCTGACAGATCTTCTGGAAGCAAAACTTGTAACCATGGTCCTTGAACTACATATGGTTTCTCTCTAGAAACAAGTGTCCCAGTAACTGTTGGTGCTACGATAGTGACAGCTGTATTGGATAATATAGATTTGAATGTGAAATGCCTTCCATGCATGACACGACCCCTATAAAATAAATCATATTTAATATTATTAAATTATCAAAATATTTTATTGTAAAAACAGTATATTATAACAATATATACTTTATTGCTAACGGTAACAGAGATCCCGCTTCAAGGTTAAAAGTTAAATGAAGCCCTGGTAAGACTTTAACAAAATGATCATGAGATAAATTTGAATCCAATTCACACGGAGATAATCTTTCTGACTTTATAACTGGTTTTATATCTTCTTCCTCTTCTTCATCTTCGTCTGATTCATTCCTTTTTTCTCTATATTTTTCCGAACTTCTATCATAATTTACTTGGACCCACCTGTAAATTAGTTAATTGTTATAATAGTGCCAGTGAATTTTATTTTAATTACTGTGAAGTTAATTTAAAACACTTGCCAACACTTTGCAGACACACCACTTAAATTGGAACCTTCTTTTTCTATTCCGCTTTCTATTTTCTCTGCTATGGAGGGTTCATCTTCCATAATGGAATGCATCCTCCTCATGTCTGTTACCAACCAAGGTCCACAAACACGGCTAGTCTTTAGTAAACTCACAAGACCTAAGCCATTCCAATGTTGCGCAGCCTGTAATTCTTCGGATGTTACTCCTATAATTTGAACAAATGAAACCTGTAACATTATGCATTAACCATCAAAACCATAATACACAAACATTTATTATAAATAAATAAATGATTTTAATTAAAACTATAAATGATGTAACATTACAATTCATATGAAAACATAATTAAAAATATATTGTTACTATAAAATTATGTATGTAACTCACATCACCATGAGGTGTATATATAGATGTTGGTAATTGTGGATCTCTCCCCATTAGAATTTGTGTGATGCGACCATTGCCATTATCGAGAGGAGCATGCCATGATACATGATCACCAGGCATCAACATATTCCCAGAATTAAAAACATATTTTGCTAATTGCTGCATCACATTTGCTGGCCAAGTAGGAGGAGTCATTTCATTTCTTTCCCTGACTAATCTGAAGGTCAGTTCAAATCCAAACCCACTCGGACGACCTGGACCACTTTTTGGATGTATCCTACCATCTCCATGTAGATCCGATAAGCCCAAACTAAATAATAAAGTTTTCCAATAAACTTCAACAAAGAAGCATTACTATTTTAAGATACTATGAGAAAGAGACAAGACGATTTAAAGGGAAAGTCTTGCTTTAAGGCCATGGAATTACAAATATCTATCAAGATAAATATAACTCCAGACTTAATTCAGAAAAAGTGGACTAGATTTAGTCAATGGCGGAACATATTTAGATAGGACAGACGGAAAAGGGGAAGTCCCGCTCATCTATTTCCGACGCGCCGCATTTTAAACGACTTTATCTTCCTGTACCCTACACTTTCTATATATAGAGAAAAAGGGAACTATTGGAACAGCTGCTGCAAACTGAAGAAGAAAGGGTCATGCATTATGAAAAAAACGAAGAGGAACACCCTTACGCGGCAGACCATTCGTCATTCGGCGCCTAAGCTTTAATAAGGAATTCCCGAAATGGGAAATCATTTGTCTTTCAACTGAATCATCCCCATCTTCTATAGAAATATCGTAAATTCACATTTCAGTTGCAATTAATTATTGATCTCTTTGTTGTATCAAATTTAATACAAAATTGTTTTCACATTAATGAACAAATTAAAAAGTTTGTGTACCTGAGATAACCTTTTCTCAGTAACCGCGGTAATACAGTAAGTGAAATTTTCCAACGACAGAAATGTGCACGGTCTATACGTGTCATCAAGGGTGTGTTGGAAGAATAACAAGCACCCACATCAAACAGAGGCACACTCCCGCTACTCAATAGGGTGACACTGACGAATACCCGACTTCCCGTTTTTTTTTTCGACTCTCACATTCTTCCCTCTTTTCTATGTCACGAAACAAAGAAGGGCACAAAAAGGTATGTGACCCATCTTTCCTGAATGAATGACGAACGGCAGAATTAACTCAAAAATCGCGTGTGCAATACGAATGAACGACAAAAGTTTCTAATAAAAAACCAAATTATTAACATATTACAAAGAACTAATAGTTAAGAAAGAAAATAGTTGAAGCTACATATAAGCTGTAACATAAAAATTAGTAATCAAAATGTGCTGAATTAATGGGTAAAAATACGTCGTTATTGAATAAATCGATATTTTTCAGAAAAATATAATTCGGTGAAAAATTTAGAGAAACTGGAATATTCAAATGGTTGAAGATGCTTTATAAAATTTCAGTAACTTACCTAATATAGTGCCAATGCGGTGGTACGCCTAACTCAGGGCAACCTGGATTTTCGTACATGCTTATGTAGTCGAGAGGATCCGGACCCCCCAACCTACGCAAAGGTGCACAGAAAATCCCAGTTATTTGGTTTTACATCCGGTTAAACGTACGTCCGACTAAGGGTGACTAAATATAAGTCGTCTTCCCTTCCTGTGCAACAGTCCCATACTCAAACATCTACATACTACCCCTTTAATAAAATAGATCTCCCTCGATTTTTTATTAATTAGCAAATATCAAACTCATATTATTTCCGATCGGAAGTAACACACAACGCACTTAAAAAGCGAACGTTATATACTTACAACAATTACTTATTACATTTATCACATTAAAAATAAAAAAGGTTTCTTAAAATATGTTATAAGCATTACAATTATATTATTTAACCGAAGAAACATTTATTACACGTGTATACGTTACTTTGTAAATAAGAACAGAATGACCAAGTAATACTATTACGACAATATTTTTCATATCGAATATTTATTTTTTATAATTTGCTACAAACTTTATATTAATAAAAAATTAAAAAATGTATCTTTAACATATGTGAATATATAACGGTTTACAAAGAAATAGCTTTAATAATATCAAAGATATTTTATAAATTCTGATTAAGAAGTCTGAATTGTGTATACCCGTAGCGCAAAAAAATAATACAGGCATTCTTTATAATACCATCTACTAAACGTCAAGTATGCTCTTTTATTTTTTTTCTTCCTTAAGTATATCGGTGGCTAAAAATCGCTTGAAGGCGTCAAATGAAATAAAAGAATTCCGTACCAGTATTTAACGACAGCGGTGACAGTGAGTGGATTACTTTGGTCTGGATAGATTTCTTTACAAAGACTGTGCAGAGCGTCAAGGCCCGGAGCCCGTGTCGTCGGTGGCTGGGTTGGTTGTCCCGGTGGAAAACTTCGGCAAAATTCATCTCTTTCGCGCATATTTCCGTACATATAGAGATACTTTTACCTACGAAATGGATTGAGCGAAAGAGCTTACAGACACACTACACGAGATCACTTTGTTTACAGTCTACGGCTCTCATGCACCTTCCACCGAGCACACAATACACGTCTCTGATCCTTGACAAAACTAAAATTCTTTCGGAGCGGACGACCGAATGATTCCGAAATCACTGCGCGTCTCTGAAATCGTTTTAGGGAATGAGAGAAAGCGTTTCGTGATTGGTCTGTACTGTTCGATCTGACTTCTTATTGGTTTTGTCCGATAGAGACTCTAGTCTGCAGATCCAATAAAAAAACTCTTTTATACAAGCGCATTTTACTACTTCATGCATACAGGTTGGTAGAAGTGCAGTACTATCGGTACAGTTTTATTGGTTTCAATAAACTCCGCCGATAAATGTGCGTTTAAAAATGCCGAACTCGACAAGATGAGGTTACAATATTTGGTTCTGGTTTTCATTTATCTCCTCTGTGATTTAAAACAGTGTTTAGGAGTCACGTTGATAAATCAAACTACGGAGTTCCCACAGGAATATAGACCCGAAGGACCATTAGTACTTTGTAAATTTCTGTAAGTAGATAGGTAACGTGTTTGATGTTTCGTGTCAAATACTTGTTTATCTTTGATAGTTCTGTACTGAAACAATATTTTGAAATCACAGGCCAAAGGAGTTCATAGACTGTGAGGAACCAATTGATCATAAGGGTAATAAAACTGCCAAAGAAGAAACTGGATTCGGCTGTGTAAAAGTATTTGTCAATATTTGTTTTATGTGTCTATATTATATAATGTAATATTTTTCTTTGTTTACTCTATTAAACATTAATTCTTATTTATTACTTATGTAGTTTGGAGGTTCCAGATATGAAGATGTTGAAAAGACAAAAGTTTCGTGTATAGTACTTCCTGACATTGAATGTTACGGACCCAGAACGTTCACTCGTGAAGGAGTTCCTTGTATAAAATATAGCGAACATTATTTTGCTGCTACTTTACTGTATAGTATATTATTAGGTTTCCTAGGTATGGATCGTTTTTGTTTAGGCCAAAGTGGTACTGCTGTAGGTAAATTGTTAACATTAGGTGGAGCAGGAGTGTGGTGGATATTCGATGTAATATTACTAGTAACTGATTCTTTACAACCCGAGGATGGTAGTAATTGGAATCCTTATTTATAAAGAATTTTTTACATCGTTTTTCCATATTTTTAAGTCTGCATAATTATTGAAATGCATTTTGTAAAATAAATTTATATCTCCTTGTACAAATGTTACTATATAAATAGATATTTCTGTTACTTAAAAAAGAATTCTTGGGTTAATAACTTACTGCCCTAACATATATAAAAAGACTTTTTTTTTACAAACAATGTGCGTTATTTCCGATTTAACTGTTACATAGAATATAATTATAGACATATTTATAACTCGTAATCATCTGGATGGTACAATTCACTAAGCAATCTATAAATGTATGATGGTGCATTTCCACCCCTAAAATGAAAAAATAAAAATATATTATTAATATACAGTATTGAATAATAGAGAAAATTAAGGTTGATAATTTGTACTTACGTATTTGAAATAAATAATGTAACCAATTCTGGTGGAACATAATCAAAGGCCGGATTATAAGCATGAATTCTTTCTAATAAATGTGCATTGGCACTATTGATTACACCTTGCAACGGTGAAACATGTTTATTAAATCCATCCTGTTCATGAGAACAAAGATATAGCGGAGAGAGCTTATATAGCGGTAATAATACCATTACTGGAACAGAATAATGTTTTGCTGCTTGAGCAACAGGATGTGAACCTGAAATCGCTCTCAACCCTCCATTCGCCATGACTGTGTGCGTACCGATTATTACTTTGTTTACACGTGACATCATTGCAAAAATAGCTACATCCGATATTAAAGTAGTTTTAATTTTTGCTTTTGAAAGATTAATTGCCATTTCATGTCCCTATAAATAATGAAACCTTTTAATCATTTAGGTACACAGTATATTAAAAATGACGTAAATTATTAAACTAATAATCACATTTTATTAATAACATAATTAATTTTCCACATAAAATATACTCACATCTAAAGATGGTCCGCTTTCAGCTACTATAACTTCAAATGCTCTAGTTGCAGCAGCTTTTTTAAAAAATTCTTCTACTAAATTAGATTTACCAATTGTCATAATAATTTCGTTAGAATGAATATGTTCAGGAGCTAAACATGTAATATTTTCTGCACTGAAAAAGAAGATGGATTTATAGAAATTTAAAAAGAAATAATTAATTTCAGTTCTATTACTGTAACTTACCAAGTCTCCAATTCAGTTTCAAATTCATTAATATGTTCTATAAGAGCAGATTTCAAAGAAGGAACAGAGATGTTGAAGTCAATTTGTTGATCACCCTCTGCAGTAAGAATTTTATGCAAGGATTCCTGTGGATCTGTTTCTTCAGTTTTATTTTGTAATTCAGAAGTATATTCTTCTCTAATTATTTTTAAAATCCTTCGTACCATATTTCCAATACAGAATTCAAGAGGGATTGCTTCTACTAAGTATTTTCCATTGCGTGTTATGATATCCATAAGATTTCTTATGAAACAAGAGTATAAAATTAAAATACTATATATTACAGATTAAAATACATTAATAATCATTTATCAACATAAAACAGTTGCATAAACCTAAGAATATATGAATGAATACTATAACATTTTATTACATTATAATATCTCTTCATATATAGGTTTTCAGGTTCTAAAGACTTTAAATACTAAACTTTGCTAATGTAAATTTCTTCAGTAATGTAAAGAATATTTGTCTGTCAAAAATAACACTAACAGTTCCTCATCCAATATTGCTCAAGAATATGCAAAAGTCTGTGTATATTAAATAAAAATGGAATTTGTACTTGGCAGTAATCCATTCTGTGTTATTTATAATTTCTTTTAAAACCTTCATAGTTGCTACCACGATATTATACGTGCCTTTTATGTCACTGTAACACAAAATTATTTTAAAGAATTTAGTTTATGTAAAGGTTAGATAAACTTAAATTCTTACCCATAATGTATATCATCTATTAATTTTAATACGCTCTCGTGAATATCTTCGCTTCCTGTACCAACCATTTTAATAAAAAATGATTTTAAATACTCTTATTTCTTATGATAATGTAATAAAAGAGCTAAAATAATTTATTCTAACAATATCATTGATACTATACGAAACAGCAGCAGCTGTTAAACTAGAACAATGATTGGTCCTGTTCTGTTAGTGGTGTTACTTTAACCAGTTTCATTGCATGTATGTTTCGAATAGCGTGACATGTGCATTATATCTTCGATTCTCGATCATCAGTGTAGAATATTATTGAAAATATTTTAAAATATACTTGATAATTTCTTTATATTAACTTGTGTTTAGATAGTAAAGAAATGGCGTTTATCGGAGATGTTGTAAGTATAATAAATACATAGTAATTTCATGCCTTTTTCCGTACGTTAATGATTCTTAACCTACTCCGTATGAAAACGCAAATAATATTTAACACATTTTATTGTTGGTTCTTTATTTTGATGATGAAATTAATAATAATAAAATAATGCGTATTAATTTCAAGACTGCGGATCAATTATTAGCTGGTTCTAGTGTACTGTCTAGACCCGCGGAGGAATTTGGGAATGATGTAAGTTACATTTAAACAGTATTAGGTAACTAAATTTATCATAATAAAATGTTCACATATATTTTTTTTAGCCTTCTATAGAGGCTATGTGGGCGATGAGAGCAATGGAGCATGCTGAAGTTTATTTTAGTGTAACTATACTTTTAACTTACTTTAATAGTAATAGATAAAACTTCAGTATTCTGTGTTATTCTATTTTAGATTTTATGTTCGGTTGATCCTAAGCTGTTGAAACTTACTCCTCACGATGATCAAATATATAAAACCTTTCGAGATGCTTTTCCTAATCTGAAAGTGGATGAAATAAGCGAAGAAGAATTGAAGTCAGAAGAGGGAAAAATAAAGTGGAGACCATTTTGTGAACAATTTAAAGGGTTTGTAGAGGATTATAGTTTCGGTACGTTATTAAGGGCAGATTGCGAAGGAGACTACTCAGAAGAAAACTGTATACTCACCACTAGAATACAATTCTACGCCATTGAAATTGCTAGAAATAGAGAAGGATATAATGATGGTATTAGGAAAAAATACAAACCTAATGGAATTACAGAAAAATCATAGATCATAATTGCGATACTCTTATATTATATGTTAAAAACAAATACTTGGATAGCATGTAATTTTTCACCTACATTTTTGTACAATATAAAACTATAAAGTTACACATTTTAATAGAATGTTATTTATATTGAAGAAAAACAAATAAACACGTTTTAAAAAAGTATATCGCTGTTATCAAATTATTCTTTTATTTTCGTATTTGCAAACTAATTAGTGGATTCGATGCTCGAGCTTGGTATTTTGATCGTGTAGCGGTAGACCTTGATGCTGCAGCTTCTCTATTAAACCTTCTTCTTTTACCAATGCCTACTAGTCTTTTTAAAGCTGGTGGAACTATATAGTCAGGTACATCTTTTAAATGTGGTTGTAATTTTACAGTATGCAGTGCTTTATCTTGCCTCAAGGATTGTAAATCTCTTGGATTATCTTCAAAATAGCTTTTCAATTTCTCACAATTTAAAACTTCCTGTTTTATTTCTTTTAAACGGGCTTCACGAACAGCTATTCTCGTTACAGCTTTCCAAGCATCTTTCGCTCGATACCTAAGTAAATAAAAAGTTTTAGTACCAACATAAAAGGTACTAAATGCAGTTTTCAACTCTACCACAATTAATTTTAGAGAGCACATAAAAAAATAAGCTTTCTTAACTTAAAAAAATCGAAGCTTATATAAAATAACTGATTATGTAGTATAAATTTAGTTCTTATGCATGATTAAATTATTAATGATAAAACATACCTGAAACCTTCTACTTCCTCCAGTTTGAATTGATATGTTTTAAACAGTGTATCGCGATTATAAAAAGGTTTTAATTCTTCTTCAAGTTGATTAAGAAGAGTCCTTTCTCTTATTGATACGAAACTCAAAGCTGTCCCTTGATTCTTTCCTCGGGCAGTACGCCCAGCTCTATGAATGTAAGAGTTTACATCCAAAGGAAAGTCGAAATTAATTACATTAGACACAAATTGAAAATCTATACCACGTGCAACACCAGATTCCTTGTCCTTTTTTCGTTTTCCTTTTTTAACTTTTACTATGTGAGGCTGTAAAGGATAATAAGAATTGAAAATTTATAATTCATATGTAATACTTAAATAATTAATATGTTAAGTATTTACTTCTTCCAAAGATTTTTCATCTGATGCTATGATAATATCGTATGTTCCGGAATTGAATTGGGTAACTGCTCTACATCGTGAAACTGCCGGTAATTCGGAATTCAAAACGCAAGTAGGTATACCAAACTGTTCCAAGAATAATTTTAACTTATAACAACGATCTACTGTATTCACAAAGATAATAGTCTTTCCTCTGCAAAAAAGGTATATAATTTGGATTTTGCATGTATGAAATGTAAGTACAATTTAATTGTATTAATTATTTATATGATTACCTAATTAATTTCAACTTTAATAGAGCATATAAAATGGCAGCCTTATCCTCTTCTTCTGCAGCAAGGCTATAATGTGATAACTGAGACAATGGAGCTAATGGAGGTTCCTCTAGTTTTAGAGTAGCTGGATTATGAAGAACTAGTTTTTTGAGAGTTATAACATCTTCGGATAAAGTTGCAGAGGCTAAAGCTGCTTGGTATACAGTGGGTAAATAATTTAACAAATTTTTTATTTCATCTTCATATCCAAATGAAAATATCTAAAATACAAGGACTGTGTTATTGTATGTATATTTTATGCAAGAATTTAAAATTACTTACCAGATCAGCTTCATCAATTACTAATGTCTCCAAAGTATGTTTCAATTTCATATTATTTGCTTTTAAATGTTGCAACAGTCTACTAGGGGTACCAACAACAATATCAGGTTTTTCAGCTAACAATGTTTTCTGTGCACTTAAATCCACTTGTGGGCTGACATCAACTGCTCTCACTTCTCTACTACATTTTATAGTTAAGCTGACCACCACATCATTTATTTGTTTGCATAATTCCTTACTAGGTGCTATAATAAGACCTTTAATCTCTTGTTTTTTCTGCGTTCGTTTGTTCATTAAAATCTTTTGGATAAGGGGAATAGCGAATGCAGCTGTTTTGCCTGATCCTGTACGGGCTCTTATCAAAATATCTTTCCCCTCTAACATTAATGGTATTGCTTTCTCTTGTATCAATGTAGGTTCTAACCAACCTAATTTTGCAACAGCCTACAATAAAGTACTATTTTTTAAATATAAGTGAAAAATATATAAAGAAATTTACAGTAAACTGTGTCAAATAATACAAAATCAGCTTTTTTCAATAATATAACCTTTAAATTTAGAATGTAGTTATCTCTTCATACCTTTAGTATCCTATCGTCCAATTCTAACTCATGAAAGTTCAATGGTTTTGTTTCATTTTCTTCGTCTACTTCCATTTCGTTCGACGTCATGTTAATCAAAATTTAACAATACGTGTCAATTTCTCAACCGGAGATCACGTTGTTTATTTTCATTCACTAATGTACGATTGTACAAGGGCAGAAATTCTAATATAATGGAATTACAGGTATGTTTCGTTTACGTTAAATTATTAACTGATGCGTCTAACACTAATATTATTCAATAACAACTGTTATTTTCATTGTTATTAGATATTTGATTTATTAACAAAATTTACGGTTTAATATTATAGTAGCGTCATCTAACAGTACATATATGGAACTAATCGGTGAGTAGCTTGGACGTTTTGCCGTAGATGGCACCACAAAATTTTTAATTAAATTTGAATACTTACATTTTTATTTTTCTTCATAAGAATCTACTTGTAATTTTCTACACAGATTTTTCTTAATAAACCATAAGATTTGAAGATCAAGAAATGAAGCTTTTGAACTTGTAACATTAATTTAAAAGAATGATAACTAAAATCAGCGAGCTTTAACGCTTCAATAACGGTCACAATCGAATCAAATATTTGATAGTTCAACGAAAATAATAATTTTTGCCAAGCAACTGGCTTATAACTCAAAGGATTACTTCAAGCCTCT